GGGGCTTGGAAAAAAATCTTCAATTGACTTTAAGTCTAAAAATTCAGCACTAATGCAATCGAAGCCAAAAGAACTTTGCATTCGTCTTGAGAGGGTTAAAAATGCTTGCAATAAGAGCTAGTCAACGTGGGCTTAAATACTTCCTAACGTATTTAGATTGAAACTTGAGGAGAATCTAATGTATGCTTTTTTTACGTTATCCTGAGTTAGTTGGTTAAGTAATCTAAGGTTATATATTCAGACACTTGAAAAAAATTGGGAAGGGGAAGAAGCTGGTTAATTAATACGAAGACCATAAGCCTAAGGTGAAATGCTACCCACCTTATTAGGGCTTAATAATGAAACTGTTTTTGACAGGGTAGCTATAACTTATGATAAAAACTTATTGTATGGCGTCAGAGTTCAGGCCTTTGCTTTACAATTGCCTAGGGCATTTTTAACTAATGGATCTTATTTCCCTGTATAAAAGCTTGTCTACTAACTTGCAGTTATGAATAACTGAATATCTTTTAGAAATTGCAATTCCGCTCAAGTTACTGCCGCATTTATTTTTTCATCTATTGATGACTGATCTATTCTATGGAGTTTTAGCGATACCTGCCAGAATATTATACAGTTTGCCTGCCTTCATAGAATTTGAGCACTTGTATCTCTAACCCAATCCATATTCATTAAAGGATTTCACTAAGCGTCGCTCCTGTTTCTAAAATTTCATGCTTCACTTGGTAAATATATTTTTTTGCTTCAGTGTTGGCAATGAAACGCTCTGGCACAGATTGAGCCAGCGAATTGCCATCAGGGAGAAGAGAGCTGCCGAGATAATGCGGCAACTTCTAGACCTCACCAACCAGATGCATCGAAAGGGTGTCGTTCATTTAGGCCTTCAGGTATGGCATTTTAATGAAGATTTCATCCCTTTATTTTGACCAATCTTGACTAAAGTGAAATTCCCCTATATAATTCATTGGGCCTCTCGCTATAAAAAATCTATTCCAATTTCCCTTCGCATCAATCACCAGCCGGATAGCATCTTCTTCAGACAACCGAAGTCAACCCAAGTCCATCTGGCTGGAGCCGGTCAGTCGCAATGGCTCTCTGAGGAAAGACCGGTCCGCTTACGTTTCCGCTCGCTCGTTTACCTGCCACCTGAACTCTCCGAGTGTTGGACTACGTCACATGCATATTTAGGCAGACATTCCGCAGCTACTGAAGGTTTAAGAGGCAGTGGTGGACTGGTTGGCCCGGCAACCGATGTATACTCTTTAGGTGTTGTGCTATACCAAATGTAAGCTGCTTGACTTCCCTATTTCCCTTTTATCTTTGTACACATCCAATAAAACTATATTTACAAGCTATATCAGCTTTCACTGCAGCTGAATTTAATTTCACATACTTTCCGTTGATTCATCGGATTGGATTATATTCTATTTGTCAAAGTGACCCGCAAAACCTACGGAAATCGTCATATTACCCTGAACCCAAAGCTTATAAGTCTTGTATCAGAAGTTACCTTCAAATATTTTTCCAAGTCACCGTTATGCCTCATTGCTCATTACCACATATTTATTTCATATATAAGCAGAATTTCCAGACCGCCAATAAGTGGGTTATATGAGATGTATTCACCCTATTTCGTTCGTTTATTTTACCCGGTGCTGTGTCGCATTTATTTTATCTGCGCGATCACCTTTGTAGTTATCGTACTATCTAAGATACTCTATGAGAATGCACAAGTTCTAATTCCAGCACTGTCCCTCCATTCTCCTCATTTAAATTTATAAACAAAAGTCCCATTCCTCCGGTATTTAGCCACTATAAACTGCCTAGCACCAGACATATAGTATGTCTCTTCTCTTAATCCTTGTGACTCAGCAATTCATCTCTGCACCATTGACGCATATCTTTCAATTATCCCAATGTCGGTTGCCTTGTACACAAACCATTAGCATGCTAATATTAGTGTTGCAAAAATAGCTTACAAGCCTTATACCATGGATTATTGAATATCATCGTAATAATCTCACGGAACAGTTTAGCCAAATACTTAGAGATTTACGGGGTCCACTATTGTCAGCATAAAACTGGTAATCCCAACTAACCTGCTGGCGGATGGATTTTTTAATCTGTCCATATTCATGGATTTTGCATTTGTATTAACAAAAAGAATATCGAAGATATGAAGACCAAGATGTTGTGGCCTCTGGTATGGTCGCAGTCTATTTCGAGTTATAGAAGTGGGTTGACCTCGTTGTCGCAACTTGATCTTGTTATCAGGGGCTAAGTCGCCCTGACGACAAGAACAAGGTGCGACAACGAGGTCAACCCACTTATATAAAAAGAATATTATTTTTTTAACTCTTAGTTGGGAAGGAAACTTTTCGGCAATATTTATTGGTACTTTGATTGGGATCATATCTATTGGAGGGGTACGATTGTTTGGTTGATTCAAAACACGTAGGAAATTACAATCTCGATGATTGATCAGATGTCATAACAAGATTTAGCCCATACAAGAATTTCATTTATTAGCAGTTTATAGGAACTGAAGTGATATCTCTAATTCCGATGATGCAAAATTGTTATTTATGTTGTTATAGAAAGCCAATTGTCATGATATCTACAGTCATAAGATTGCTAACAATCATGAGGTCTGAACAATCACTAGCACCATTGCTTAAACTGAATATTTATGCCATATTAATAACGAGTTTGCAAAATAGCAAAGGTTTGTGTGTTTCTGAGGTACGTCCACTTATGTACTAATAATTTATAAAATCGCAAGGTCTTTTGTGGTTGTCTTCCACCATATTGCAAGACAACTCCACATGTATTTACCATATTTCGTTTAATGTGATGAAGGACTGGCAGTTGAATTTGCCCACACTGATATGAATAGAGCTGACGTTTCCATTGAATTTCAAATAGTCTTGCTCTCCCAAAAGATGTTCTCTTCTAGGGTGGACTACAGTTTCGACGTCGCCTAGGTCTTTTCGACCCCCTCAGCGGGAGTCGAACCATGACAATGCAGCGTGTAACCTCGACGCGTTAACCACTACGTTACATTTCCACGAGTTCCCTTGGGCAGATGTAAATTTTAAGGAAGGCCAGGCATTTTCCTATATCACAATCTTTGGCGGGATTGTCGATGAAGCTAAATTATATTTGCTATGACAATCGCCTGCATTACTTATTTTTCATTTATACGAAGGATTTCTAGACTGCCATTACCAATACCAGTTACTCTAAAAGTTTTTGGGGACTATTTTGGTGATTGTGAACAGATGGTGAGTTCATAGAGTATCCTTTGCGTTAGTCGTTACGAAAACTACTTCGATAAAGAAAATTAAGCTCAATTAAAGTAAGAAACTTTTAGGTCAAATCGTTTTTGACCTCGAAGATTAAAGGCATTATTTCTACACAGGGGATCTTGGCAAATATCACAAATTAAATTGAAATAATTTTTTTATTCGAGTGCGTACTTATTTTATCACACTACATTATTCCGTTAGTAGATGAGTGTTAAAAAAGGAAGATTTTGCCAAATTCGTCTATAACTATAAGGTTATATTGATCTCTTTGCTTTTGGATCGCATTATCTACAAGATTTCCTGAATATTTTTTTTCTAATGGGAACCTCTTGCTTGGCTTCTGATAATCTAAAAATAAATTGCTTCATGTGCTTGCGAATACGAGTTTCGATATTAAAACTTTAAGCCGCTAGCTTCCTTACTCTCTGACACAAGTGATGTAACTATCTTAGGCCAAAAGTTCATTATGATATTTTCATTTTTTTTGTTTTGTGTCGCTGGCACGTATTACTAGGAGAAATCATGATTAGCTAAAAAAAATAAATTGACGTAGCGAAGAGTTTCACTGTACCTACCTATTCAGAAGATTATGCTCCACTCCGTGGCGAAATAGTATTGCACATTTAACAGGGGCAATTTCTCATCTGTTTATTCCTTACATTAAGTAATTAGCTCTTTGTGACTGCATATCCTTTGGTTATCATTTATCATTTACAATAGTTAAAAGTTAAATTGGGTTATGGGTCTGAGAGACTGCGAGTATATATGAATAATTCAACGTTTAAAGACACTTCTTTTTAAATTATGGCTTATTAGCAGGCCCTCAGCTTTCTCAAATCATATACAAAAAAGAATTTACGCTCCCCTTTGAATCAGGGACATTTTTGAGAGGGAGAGTTTGAATACGAAAGTATTTATTCATCTAGCTTAGATTTTATTCACATACTGGATAGAATTTTATTGTTGACAGACGAATATTTTTCAGATAACATGATCCAACTGATAGAGGAGGTTAAGTTTCACCTTTTTCTTTGTTTTGAAATTAATTCACACAACAAATTACCATTATTTTACCTCAATTTAGCAGATAAATTTGATTAACTTTGCATGATTTTGCTTCACAGGATAACAGGCGATTTAGAAAGGCGCCCTGACGTCTCTCGATTGGAGTCTGGCAAGTACACGCCTGAACTTATCGACTTAGCTCGACAGCTTTTGCAAGCTGATCCAAAGTTGAGGCCCACCGCATCTGAGGCACTTCATCATCCTTGGTTCACCAGTATTCGACAGGTTCATGAGCTCAGCCCAACTTTACAGAGTGATTCAAAATCTTGCATTGTTAGGAGAGCCATTGACAAGGGCAATGAGACATCGTATAGCGACGAAGAGGGCGTACAGGAAGAGGAGGAAAAGAGTAACTTCTCAAAGCGTCAGGAGGCTGCAAAAAAGACCGCACAACAGGCCTACAAACGACTACTCCGTTGGTTAGATGAAAAATCGTATAGCAACGCGGAAGAGACACATGAATGCAAAAGTCATAAGCGACGACGCACACTTCTCTACAAAGAGGATGGGGATGATGAAGAGTTGGTCGTGAATGTGCGCTTAGAGCCTCGAGGACGCCCACCAAAAATCCTGACCCCATTGACCAATGCATACGTGAATGAGGGCGCTGATGCCCTACTTAAGTGCCTAATTTATCTGCCAATGGAGACTTCCATTGCTCTTGAGTCCGCCCGACACTATCCACCTTTCTCAGGCATTGCGAATGAGCACTTCGATGACCTTGTTGCCACATGGTCCCTAAATGGCCGCGAAATTGATATGCAAAGTCGCAACTCCGACGGTTTGCGACGTTACGAGTCACGAATTGATCCTGGCACTGGCCAGATCAGTCTGCTGATTCGCAGCGTCAATGTCTATGATGCCGGAACTTACTCGGTGTTGTTGCAGAGTCGGAACGGTGAGATCTCTGATTCTGCTTACCTACGTGTGATGGAACGTCGATCGTCTCTCGGCGGCGGAGGAAGCGGAGCCAGTTTACCAGATCTGGAGGCTGAACTTGCTGCCCGTATCAACCTACCCTTGATGGATATCGTGGTGACGGGTGGTGGGCAACTGCACCTACGAGCACGCGTTACTGGTGTGCCGCTTCCTCGAGTCACCTGGCTTCACAACGGCGCCCCATTGGTGGGCCATCCGAACTGCCGGATCTGGAAAGACGAAGCAAGCGGTCATGGCCGTGACCAAGTCACGCATCATCTTGAGGTGCCCGAAGTCAGCTCAGCCGACTCAGGTGTGTATAGCTTTGTGGCGACTAACAAACACGGTTCCGAGGCCTGTTCCAGCTTTGTTGAGGTACTGGGTGAGCGCACAGCCGGCCAAGCACCTCCTGTCTTTCTGGATGAGCTGATGAGCTGCACCGTGGTCGAAGGCAGCGCCGTCCGCCTCGAGGCTCGTATGTCTGGCTCTCCTCCACCGACCACGCGTTGGCTGAAGGATGGCAAACCAATCTTGGTTGATGGTTCCCGCGTTACCACCCACTGTGATGTGGAAGATACGGTACTGGGCAGGACGCGAGCTTATCTCGTAGTCAAGGAGAGCCTACCTCGAGACAGTGGGACCTACACCTGCATTGCAAGCAACTGTGCTGGCACCAGTATCTCGGAGGCCGCAATCCATGTCAGAGGTATGACTGTCGGAGATGTTAGAGTGCATGATCTAAGCTTTTTTATGCTAGTATGATATTTTTAATTTCAAGGGACACTAAAAGAGGAGGCATTTTCGGGTTTACTTTTATTTAATTTAAGGGACCTACTAAAATTGGTTAAATAAAAATAATTGCTGAGCATAGTTCAATTTCATGTGAAAGGATATGATCTAAGTTTCGAAGGTCCATCCTATCACAAGACAACAGGCGATTCCTCTTGGAGAGCTGTCATTTGGCCTTCCTGGAATCTTTTGTTTGAAATCTTTGAAGCAATCTCTTTCGATTCTGATGAAAATGTATCCAACTTTTGAGTCTTCATATGAGATATCAGCAGAGCAAGGTTACATTCTTACCATAAATTCGAGCTAATTAATCCATTCCCTGCATATCTTATGTACACTCTAAAAGCATGACTTTTGAGGTATATAGTAACCTTATTAGTTAGTTTCATATTAAAATTTTATAGCATGTGCATATGCATGCCTGTGTGCATTTGTGTTCATGTGTGTGTAGAGATACGAAACTAGCAGTGATAGCTACAAGTAATTAGAACAGATAAAAATTATTCTGGCTACTGAACTAAGTAGATTAGATAATACATTGAATATTAGGTAAAATACAAATAAAAAGAGCAAGGAGGTGAATAATCTAGGCTTTGCTGGTCATGGCTCTGATTACTTTCCTACTTTCTTTACATTTGAGTTCATCATCTTAATCAGGATTGTTTATGGTGTTACGAAATTAAGTGATATTTGTGAAAAGATTCATTATATCTTGACTGCTGAAAATAAATGTTTAGCTCTCTTCTAATTACTTGGGGTAATCATCACTGGCCTTTTAGTAGACATGAATGCAAACACGAGTCTACTTACGTACATTCCTCTATATGTAAATATGATATAAACTAAAAAATGATTTTATATCTCATAAAAATTCATTGATTTAGGGAACATATACAGAATATAGGGATAAGCCTATGCGTTTTCTTCACTTTTCAGCTGAAATAAGTTATGACAATGGTATTTTGCATTGATGATGTCCTTCATGTGACAGACGGAGGTTTGGTATGTTTTCACCTGGATCGAATAAAATTGCTTTGTGGATAGAGCTAGCCAAAATGTTCCACTACGATCATACAAGAGCTATCCAAGAGAAATGTACCGTTGCCTTCTGGTGACTCGACGTTACGATATACTCGCCATACATTTTCACTGGAAATGAAGGCCTACTCATTTTGAATGAAATTTGATAATCCTCACAAGCTAATAAAGATTCAATTTTTAACCTTTTCTACCAGGTCTTTAAATTAATTTCTTTCGAAACCTATTGATTCTTTTCGTTTTTGTTCCTCCATTAATATACATTAATTATGCCTCTTACGTTTATGGGGACATTACATTAAGGCTGATACAAATTTAACAGGGCAGTAGGAAGCGTTCTGAATATATCGAAAACTGGTGTTGTTGGGGATGTCCAAAAGGTTATCTTGAGCCTTTGTCTTGGCTTTGTCTGTCGCCCGATGGGTTTAACCTTGTTACGGATTGCTGTGTCAAAGGTTAATACTTCCCAATGGATACGGCAGCTGCCTACAAGTAAGAGAGATATCAACATTAAAATATTATTCACTATACTTATACCCAACTTTTATTACAAAAATGAAAGGAAAAACTTCATGTAAGTAGATAATATTCCCAGGCAATTGAAGCTCAGCTTTTCCCTTTGATTTTTCTGGGCATGATCAGGAGAACTTAAGGAAAAGGCGCTCATATCAAAGGCTACTTTTCCCAAGTTTTCTCTGCAAGCGCAGGCCTATTTGTGTCTCTAAGTGATTAATTCCCAATTGAAACACTAATTAGGACGAACGATTTACTAAAAGCTTGCCTTCAAGATATCCTAAACCGATTTCAAGCACTACGTTCTCACATTTTACAGAACTTACAAATGTCCTGGCTGGTCTATCCAGAGTTTCCATATTTTTGTATATGATGCGTTTTTGGTTCTGATTGAGTATTTTAATACTGTGACTATGAGTAGTTAATTGTAAGGCTATTTTCTTGACAAGTTAAGGAAACTTCTTTATGCTAATTCATTTATGAAATTTTGACTTTTTACTTTGAAGTGCACGCGCCTTATTAATCTCCCCAACAGAATTGTGCCACTCAAAGTCTGGACCTTAATTCATTACACTATTGGCTATTACACCTATTTTTAGTTTTTAGTATAAATATCCTAACTTAGTGCAGGCAGGTTTAATCTTATACAAACTATGCGCATATATTTAATTTACTTTGCTTTCTATTTTGTTACTCCGTTCTTTTATTCCATTTATATTAGGGCTTTTCGCTCGACCTGGCTCTCGAGCTAGCTCCGAAGCACCATTTAGTATCGGCATGCGTCGGCGAGCTCCTGAGTTCACACGTCGCCTCCGCAACCAGCAAATCATACTTGGCCAATCCATTCGCTTGGCTGCCTCTGTGTTGGCAACGCCTAGTCCCAATGTTATTTGGCAGAAAGACGGCGTCACTCTGCCGGTGACGGAGGATGTAGGCCAGTCGGGCGCCAAATATCTGGCCAAAGTGAGTACTTTATTTATTCTGCAGGTGTGAATCATATCACTTGTACCCAGCTCTTAGTTCTGCAATAGACCTTTCAACAGCGAAATGATCCGCTCTCACAAGGACTTTATTTTCTTAGGTCTAAATGAAACATTCTGACTTAGTTGATTTCCAAATTATCATTAAATTTTTAGTATTAACATGAGTCTCATATGGCTGATTAAAGAA